TATGTAAATTAATTAATTCAATCTGTGTAATATTAATATAGTGTTAATTTACGTGTAAATTCATGTTGCCGCATTCATAGTTAGATAATATTTGATCTTCCTTTATTATCATGATTGTCATAATTTCCTTTATTATTATGATTGTCATAATTAATGCAAAAAACGGTATCTGCGCATCAAGCAGCTTGTATTTAACAGAAGGGCATTCGGATGTTTGTTTATAATTTGGATAAAATTATTTGCTCTCAGTCGCAGTGAAATATTTGGCGCAATGTCCGTAGACTATTGTCTCCGTTATTCTTCATCGGTTCCTCGCGACAAAGATTCATACTCGCTAATATGCATATGTTTATTTAAATTGCTTATTTATACCGATATGTTATTTTCGAATGGCAGTTTTATACTTTCGCATTCTATTGTAGTCTAACAGCTGGGCGTGTTTTTAAAACTCTCTTTACTTTCTAAAGAATTGTTTACATGACAGAATTGAGACACAAGTCGCGTACCTTGTCTGTAGTCTGAGCCAGACGTGCAAGTTAAGCTCAATTGAGCCCTCAAACCTGACCTCGGGATATCATTTGCCAGGCATATCTCGAGCTCAGGCGTCACTCTGGGACGAGATTTTATCCGTGGAATGTCGCTGGCCTCAGCCGCGATTGTCTTCGTAGAATTTTTTTAAACTCAATTTTGGGACAACGGGAAGGCTAAACTCTGGGATTGACAGCCAAATTCGAGGATGGAAGGATAAATTCGAGGATGGAAGGATAAATTCGAGTATGAAGGAATAAATTCGACGATGGAAGGATAATTTCGAGAATGGAAGAATAATTAAGGGGGGGAAGGATAAATTCGAGGATGGAAGGATAAATTCGAAGATGGAAGGATAAATTCGAGGATGGAATGATAAATTCAAGGATGGAAGGATAAATTCGAGATGCAAGGATAAATTCGAGGGTGGAGGGATAAATTCGAGGATGGAAGGAGAAATTTAAGATAAAACAAAAACTCAAATATGCATGGACGTAGAAAATCTAGGAACTAACGTGAAATTCCAAGAAAAATAATCAACATGTGGAACATATCAACAACAAGAAAATCAAAATGCGAGAATAGTTTGTGGGAACGTTTCATTACAAGAGAACAGTAATGCACATATCAGCACCATTAAGTGTAAAGGTGTAGCGAAAGTTGAAAGTGTTGTCGATTATATGGGTATTTGGTAGGTGACTCCTATTATATGAATGTCGGCGGTCATTGACCAGTTCGTCGAGAGAAAAGCGGACTATTTACTTTGGCAACATTGCTTTACAAGCAAACGTATTAATTATTAAGCAATACAGTGAAAACAGTTGCCTACTCTCTGCTATTTGCTGAGAAGATAGCAGTTGTTTGCGCTACAGACAGCGGCTATAATTAAGCGGTACAGGCAACAGCTGTTAGAGCTGTTAGCGCTACATACAGTTGCTACAGTATGTAGGCCTATATATACTGTACTGTATATATAGACTGTAAGCCTATATATAAGCGCTGCAGACAGCAGCTGTAAGCAGTACAGACAGCAGCTGTAAGCGCTACAAACAGCAGCTGTAGATGCAGCGTCTTGAGGGATCACTTCACGGCTGCCGCGCAATTGAAGGATCGCTTAATATTGAACGAGGCTTTTAGGAGATACGCTGCGCCGCCCCGGGGGCTGGGGGTGGGGGGCGGGGGCGGGGGNTTATGCGGTCGGCGAGTATAGCTATAGGCTGTCTCTTATACACATCTAGATGTGTATAAGAGACAGGGAGATGTGAGTGCCAAGAGTCGGGGGAGACGTGAGTGCCAAGGGTCGGGGGAGACGTGGGTGCCAAGAGTCGGGGGAGACGTGGGTGACAAGAGCCGATATGCATGCGTTGCATGGACATCTACCTCAAATATTTTGTACCCATAACAAGTTTTATCCTCATTTTAACTGTACGAATGCCTCGATGTCGTCAGAAAGCTTCATGTTCAAGTCGATGACAAATCAGTTGATGACTGCAAATCAGGTAATAAATGATAAATAGTGCGCGGTCGGCCACTGAAATCCACGGCTAACATCGTGAATATAAAACAAAAACACTTCAGAAATGGTGCGGCAAAAATTTTCCCATTGAAATTAATGTTGCAGATGGAACGGTTGGTTATTTTATTTGGCTTCTTTTATAGTATAAAATAAACAAAGATGATCGAACATCGTCCTTTGAGTTACTGGCGATAAGCATGGCATTAGCATGAATAGCTTTTTATATTGCTCATAATTCATATCCATATACGCCCTGCTGGCCTGCACGCTTTGTATCCGCGTGCGCAATCCATACTAACGAAGTTAAGCGCGTCTGTAGGGCACCCGGCGCGACCGAGAGAACGTCTGGTGTTAAAACCCGGCCGAGACTCGGCGCACTTTGCTTCATTAAAAACTGCCTCTTGTTCTGTCGGCCTCTGCGAGCGTGCTATTGCTGGGTGGAAAACTGCCTCTTGTTGTGTCGGCCTCTGCGTGCGTGCTATTGCTGGGTGGAAAACTGCCTCTTGTTCTGTCGGCCTCTGCGTGCGTGCTATTGCTGGGCGGAAAACTGCCTCTTGTTTCGGTTGCTCTGTTGGCCTCGTTTCATTTATTTTACACTCATGCATTTTGATTTAAAGAGAGTTATATATTCATGGTGTATTGACAGTATGCCTCAAATTTATCGTTAGCTCTTTTAGATTAGCTATGCTTATATTCTAATGATGATCCAACAAAATCTGGGGTAATAGCAAAAGCTGCAATAATTGGTCAGAAATATTAGTTTCAGTTTCCAAACTTTATGTTAATTGCAAATTATGCTTCTAGGGATAGAATCATTACTTGTGCAGCAGAAAACATTATATAATAGATAATCGTTTAATCGCATAAACTCCGATGTTGCAGCAACCTGCATATAAAGGCGGGCAGGAGTAATGAGTTTGATCAAGATATCCTATTTTTAGGCCAAAAAAATTATGGCCAAAATTAAGCTTTTGCCTAGTGCAATAATAATATACTTATTGCTATTGAGTGCCTGAGGTGGCGCTCCTGCGGGCCTGGGACTGCTACGTCCGAAAAATCTGTGGCCCAGGCTACCAAGAATATTGTTATATTCGTGTCTATATTGAATGCAGGGGCGTCGTGTGGCAGTTCATCCATCTTTTATGTAACAAGTATGATGTCTATTGACTCATTTGTCTTATGATTTTTATTAAATGAATATATTATCCACCAATACATCTTTATCATATCACATCATAATAAAAGTATAATAATATATAATAATAATAATAATATGCAAGCCTAACAAACCTTGCTCGCAATAAGGAGGCGGGAACAAAAAGAAATTATATTTTAGTCAGTATTTTATTACATTTATACAGAGCCTTCAGTGTCCACTTGCGATTTATATTTATCGAAGTATGACTTATTTATGAAAGCGATGACTAATGGTGCCCCAGATTAATACAATAAATAGTTATAGAGCTATCCTTGCATTCATTGATGCGTTAATTCATTCATCATTTGTCACGCTGTATAATTTGATAATCTCAGTTTATTAAACAAATATTCCAGTAATGCATATCATTTGTTTCTTTTTGACGCTCTACCAGCGGAGAGAATGTTTTTCTGCGCTTGAGACTAGCGATATTCGATGCCTTTCATCAAGTAACTGTCGCTTGTCTAAGAAACGTACTCTATTGCAGCACTATGTTATTGCTACATATTATTATTACATTATATGGGCGAGAACATTACTGCTACAATTGGAAATATCTTATTTCCAACCTTACATTTGCTACAATAACGTTAACATCGTTACACGTTCTCTGTATTTTTGCTTGATTTGTTTCTAATGTTTGCAACGCGTTGACAGTGAAATATTGCGATGATTTGGTTCATTAATTACTTCATGTCATTTGCACAATTCACAAGAATCCTAATACGAACAATATACATGTCATGCTGCAAAATAAGATTCGACGTTCCCAACACATGAATCTCATACTCGCTTTATATATCGCACAAGATACAATAACAATGAGTTCATTTTGAAAGAATGCCCTGAACTTCTCAAATTTCAGCACATTGTCGTCATTGCCAGGGCTTCAACTTTCACGAAGCAAATGAGACTAGTTTTCACTTGTAAATGTATATTTTTCGCTTTAATATTAGAGACTCTTGAACACAAATTAGTGAGACATTGTCAAAAATATATGCACTTTTAGCCCTTAATTTATTGTTAAGCCATTTTGACCCAATTTGGATCGGAAAAGAAGACGCCTAATTAAATGCTACGTCCGTTCTCTGTTGGTGCTGTATAGGTAAGAAAATGCCACTGTTTGGACGATATGAAAAATTGATTTTCTATTTATTCCACTTATGAACCGAGTCTACTCTTTCAAAATCTCGTATCTTTAACATGAACTAAAAAATTACTTAGTATAATTTCCCATCTCAAGCTTAAGCTGGAGTACATACATTGACACAACACTCGTCGTACAACGTGCTACATATTAAGGCTATGTACAAAATAATACATCGCGATAAGAATTATATGTACATAGGTGAGGTAGAAATATAACTTATAAATAACTTATAATTATATAATAGTCTTAACTTAAGACTTCCTGGTCCAGGAATCTTATTAACGTATCTTTATTGACGGTCTTTTATTGCCCAGTTACTAATGACTTATTACCGGCATAAATTATGCTACCTAAGTTACATGAAAAAAATTTCGGGAAATTTAAAAAAACACAGTATAATTGAATTGGTCGAGTCTCGTAATTTTTCCAGCTTAAATTTTTGCTTACAAAATAAAACCACCCATAAAAATTTATCGCGATTCCTAATTCTCCAGCGCAACTTTGAGGGGAGAGTGTCACAAATAATATGTATTACAGTTGCCATTTTATTACCACATGTATAATAATATAAACTTTACAGTAGAACTTTCAAATAAATGTTTTTTGCAACTTCTCGTTTTAATTAGTATTATTTAAATTGACATCAAAAAGAATATTAATGGGAAGTCTGAATAATTGATTGAGATCATTTACATTATAACTATGACTGAAGCCACAAAGAGAAGTGGGTGAGACTTTGTAAAAAAACGATACACTTTTTAAAGAACGATGAACCATTGATGCGACAGCTACATCTGCTAGCACTGTGGGTGAGAAAGTGTGCCACTATTTAGACAATGTGACACATTCATTCTACTTAGTGAGGGCTAGCCACTGCGCTTCTAACAAACGTCCCTGGCAGAAACATATAATGTAAAGAATGTGATAATGTTGAATAAACCTTTAATGTCATATTTCTAAAGGCTTTTGAACAAAACATTAATGATAATTCATGCTGTATTCGCTGCTCAAACATTTTCTTGGATTATATAACTTTTTAAAAAAAGACATTAATTTTCCTCTCTAAGAACGTATTTTTCTGAGAAAACTCAATTTAAAATAATTTCCATATTCATCTATACACAATTATGCAAAGGCTGAGATTTAAAAAATTCAAGTAGAAATTTAGTCTTCCGCAAACATCTATTTACAGAATAAGTTATTAAAGTTAAAAGGTTTAACAAGTTATGGAATAAGTTAAATAAATTACAGAATTTGATATAACAATTTGTCTGTCTGAATAAAAACGAAATTGAAATTAAATGCTAAAAATGCTAAGTTCATCACTTTAACATATGTCATCCCGGGCCTTTATTTTTACAGCTGAATTAATCAAGTTGCATTATATTGATGTCATTGTATAGATCCATATAATAATACAATATTACTAGTAAAAATTTTTTCTTTTCTTATCTTTTACAAATTCTTGAGAGGGTTTTTTTCACTCAATTTATTTAACTGTTCATTAAACTCTCTTGCTTGCCAATAATTTATCCATACACCACCCTTGTATTTGTAGCTTTCTCAAAATTATAAATTAATAATTATACGAAATCTCAGGTCTTTCTTGTGGCAAGTTTTTGTTCAGCTTACATATTTTTCCAGGATCCTGATTTTTCGAGCATTTGATTATTCACCTTATAATATCGATTTTACTTTTTTTCAGTACGAAAATTTCGAGTGATTCCAAAAAATCATAATTTTATCAAATGGGAAGTAAATCATCTGTTGCATAATCAAGTCACATGCATAGATATTCATAATAGTTTGCATTGCACTCAAAATGAAGTTCACTTAAAAAATTCGACACTATATCTACTCAATTTCCATCTCTAAATTTTAAAAATTGCTTGAAGTTAAACCGTGAAATTAACACCATTCGTTGACTTAGGTTTCTCATGGCACGCATTGCTCAACAAGCTATGGGCAATGTGTTTTCTTCATATCAAGTCATGAACGATAATGTACACATTTTACGATACTAATCTACGTACATGCTGTGATTTCCGAACTTTTTGTGTTCTAGCAACACACTCAGAAGAATGAGAGAGACTTGTCCGAATAGCGATGCACTTATTGCCTCTGTATGGGTTTTCTGACTCAGTTTCTAACCGAGTAAAGTGCGTATCAGTGCTAGAAAGTGTCACTTCTTGGACAATACGAGCCATTCATTTTCTGACTGCACGTACCGGTCCAGCTAGTAGGACACTACTCATTTAACCTATATTAGCAGCTGCTATCTGGTACTATACATTGATATTTTTGCACTACATCAACATTTATTTATTGACATTTATGTTATTGCGTTATTGATATTTATGCGTTGAGGTAGTATACTGTTTTAGTTTAATAATACACTCAAAAATATATTTAGGTCATCTTGTCTAAATAGTGACACACTAGCTGCGTGTAGCACTGATACGTCCTTTTTCCCGGGGCAGACTGGGTCAAGATAAGTGCGTGGACCGTGTGGCGACAGCAGCAAATCATTGCCCGATTATCTTGTCCGTCACTAAAAATTCTTGCGCGATTAAAAATAACTAACAAAAAAATTTACTATAATAAAAAATGTTTGTGTATCAACTGAAAGGGCCTCACGCCCAAATTTTTGGGAATCCCTCATCTCAACGAGAATGTTCACCGATCGACAGCAGCGAATGATGCAAAACATTTACTGAACCTTATACCTCCAAATACCTTGAAGATATTCCCCTAACTTTGTACAAAAAATTATTATATTTCAATATCCAATTATTCAAATTATAGAATTCACCTGCTAGCATCCCATCATTATAATAAAAAATTTCTTACATACAACACCAATCTTTCATATATAACTTCAAGGAATGCCGCATGAGTGAAATGCCATTAGATTATTTGCAGTGACAACACACGTATTTACTTTACCATAGTTCACAATCACACATAATCTATCTAACACAGGACAATGTTATGAAATAAATAATTATAAAATAACCCGCGGTGCAAGATGGTCATAATTTGCAATTAATGTGCTGTACAACGAGCACCTACACTAGTGTGCTAAGTGCATGCATGTATGGCACCCAGTGAGAAATTATTTGCTGATTATAAATGGCCATTTAACGGTTACTAAACGCATTTACAGCACTCAGTTGAAATATATTTGCTTTTTTATAATTGACGGTCACTTTAATTCAAGTTCACCCCTAATTTTCATTACGAAGTAAACTTGCCACTTCTCAAACGGAAAGTGCTGTTGACGACAGCCCAAAGAAACCGAATAACAATGGTTAAAGATCAAACTAATATTAAAGATCAAACTAACTATTCGTGACGTTAATTGATTTGCCTACTAATTTTAGTTTAATTATTATAAAAAACAAATTTCACCTGTAAATGTCATGGTGAGGTTAAATAAAAATACTATAATTCTATCTTGCAGCGCCTAAAAAGTATCGTCTGCCGTGGAATGACGACTGAGATTACATATAATGGCGTAAAATCTACTGTTATTCGTCATGTACATTTTATAACAAGACTAAAGCACATCAAACTTTGAAGCAGAAACTCTAATGCTTAATTTACGATGACATCGGTGACATGGGAGCAGGACTGTTGCTACGACTGCTAGATTTGCTCATTGTATCAGTTGCATCGGCAACCGTATTAAAAGTATCAGCGTCAGCGCCTACTGGTACTACGGAATCAGCAGCTAACGCCGCTGCTGATAACGACGAAGGTTCATTATCCTCACCACCAGAGGGCGGAAGGGTGTTGCGCTCCGCCCAAGGTTTGATGTTCTCGAGCGCACAGAGCGAAGCGTTGGTGTTGTACAGCGGCGCGGCCTGGGTCTCGCTAAGCATTCCGTTGCTCTGCAGGCTCAGGAGGATGCGGTTTGTGTGGTGCCGGTCTGTCTCTCGCTCTTCTGCTATTTGGCGTCTGGCAAACGAGAAATTTCAATGATGTTAGACGGGATACATGTTATGTGTGGTTTACAATCTATTGGACAGAATATGTAAAGTAAGGTTACAAAATAGTGTTTCATCAAAAATGGAATAACTCTATAGGCGTCTAATTCACATCATACATTCCTTATTAGTTGTACCTTTAAGCAAAAGAAAGAACCACCTCGTATCAATTAAAACTTCATCAAAAATTTAATTTGAAAAAAAAGGGGGGGGCGCTGCCCCATGTTGCCCTACATGGTTAGTGATTACAGTATAAGCTTTCATTTTCACTGGCGTTTTTCTATCCTTTTCACTGCTTTTTAGGAACAAATAATGTTAACCTGCTGAATATTGGCATGACATATAATCGCATCAAAAATAGCGATTTGATGTAGTAAGCAATTCCACTGTAGCTTTTTTAACGTTTCAAGATTAAAATTCGCATGAGGTAAATTTCTCAACTCTCTCGTTTTATACTGAATTACTGATTTAAATTATTATTACTATGATTGTAAAAAGGATGAATTCCATAACAATGAAAAGGCAAATATAAATACTTAATCTTAAAACAAATAACAGGAGGATAAATTTGGCACTTCTTACACCTCCCAAACGGCACAAAGCGTGTTTCAGTTTCCGGTGTCTCTTTCATTTGTGGAATGCATTCATGTGTACCAAACTCGCACTTATGACTATAATACATTAAAATTTGTGTCCTCACCTCCACTTAGTCCGTCTGTTCTGGAACCAAGTCTTGACCTGCGCGTCGGTCATGTTCAGTTGCTTCGCCAGAGTCGCTCTCTCGCTGCTGGCCAAATATTTCTGTTTGTTGAAGCGCTTCTCCAGCTCGTTGACCTGG